AAACTCCAAAATTGACATATGCAACAAATTCATATCGCTTTTATTTTGAGGTCATTAAGGTTTTCAAATTAATAAAAATCCTACAATCAAGATGGATCAATGCGGGTGTCTGATCAAGTAATTGAGAAGTTATTCTCCATAATACCAAAATATTGCTACCCAAGAGGATAAAGAGGTGTAAACAAGTCAAGTCGAGCTCAAGCAACAAGGCATGAGCTTGACCTTAATTAACTTTATCGAGCTTGACCTTAATTAATGGTCAAAAACTCGTTGTTCGCGAACAACTCAGTGTTCGGATTGTTTGTTAAGTAAAGGAGCCAAACACAAACAACTTTTTTTCGCTCGTGTTCGGCTCGATAGCTCGAAATAAAAAAAATTATATATTTATTTATATAATATTATATTATATAGAATATTTATATAATAATATATTATATATATTTATATCGAAGTTTAACTTGTAACATTGTGTGGTAATGTGGTTATGTGTCTTTTTTTGCATACATTTGGTCCATGTTCGAATTCAACACTTTACATCTACTATTTTCAATTTAATTTTAATGAGCTGAACACGAACACGAATATTTAAAACGAGCCGAACACGAACACACTATTCACGAGCCGATTTCGAACCTGAGCCGATTTCGAACATGATCAGTTTTGAACGAGCCAAGCTCGAGCTTGTTCAAGCTCGGCTCATTTACAACCCTAGAATGAACAATCATGAGATAATGAATACAAAGTCAAATAATATACAATACAAAATATTATTTTTTAAATATTTTTAATGTTCTTAAGACAAAGTCTTGATATTTAATATATTTTTAGTTTATTTTAATTTTAATTTTTTGATTTTTTTGTATGAGCCGACTCACCAGCTAAAGAGTCAAGTCGGGGTTGGCTTGAGCTTGGCTTGTTAGCTGTTTGAGCTCAGTTCATGAGCCACTTATCGAGCCGAGTTCGAGTCGGCTTATTAGTTGGCTTGACTCACTTACACCCCTTAAAGCTATGAATAGAGAATCTCTCTTCACTTGAAGGGGAGGAGGAGAAGAGTTCCAGAGCCTATATTGGATTGAAGACTTAACAATAACTTTTAGTCTCCATATGTGCTAACCACTCTCAGTCGTCTGCTTCGAGCAATGCAGCCTACTTTTGCTTTTCGCTGTCGACAACCCCTAATTACCAACACTATATCTCATGTATGGTCATGGCATACAATGCAATATTGAAGATTCAGCGATAACTTCCAGGCCCGTGGCCGTCAACCACTGATGACCACTGCTTTTCGATCACCATCAGTTACCTCCCGCCGCCCTTGCTCGCGCTGTCGGTGGCCCCTACTTTCTAACATTATATTTCATAACATAGCACACTATATTAATGATAATGTAATGGTCTATGACCTCTATACTCATCGATCATTGTTGCTGTGATGAGTGAGATTATTGAAATTTGCAGATTGCGGCACACCAATAGGGGGTGTGAATTGGTGTAGTAAAATTTTTAACATTAAGATTTAATTAAAAAAAATTAAGGATATATAATTTGAGAAAAGTTTATAAAATTAAGTGTGCATGGAAAATAAAATACGCAAGAAAAATTTTTCGTGATTCGGCCAAACCCAAAAACTGGCCTACTCCACTCCTAGCCAAACTCATATATTAGAATCCTACTATCAAATCAATAAATCCCCTTCACAACGAGTGTAGATGGAGAAATCATTACAAATCACAATCACAAATTTAAAATGCAAAATCTTAAAAAATATAAAATAATTTTCAAATTTTGCAAGACCTTAAGAAAATATCACAAATAAGGATTTAAAGCAAAACATTAATCCAATCTTGCGACCCGCTGATTGTCGCACAAACGCCTTGTTGTTGCTGTTAAAAGAACTCGTGCATGTTTCACGAGCTTTAAGATACGCCGATTCTCTTTTGAAACTTTCTCGCACTTGATGAACAGTGAAACTTATGAAATTTGGCTCTAAAATATTAATCCTTTCTTCTTACAAAATTGCTCTTATTTATAAATATAGAAAGAATTAATAATGGCAATCCAATATGCATGACATTGGAATTAATAATGAGAAAGTATTTCATTCATATTCGGCACTTCATATCATGATAGTCAATCATCAGACATCACATCGTCATACATCTCATCAGCGTACTACAAGACGCCTGTGATTAAATGTCCGTACGGACGCCACATCTGACGAAATATTTTTTTCATAATAAGGCGACTAATCCTGTTGTAAATAATTGCCTCTCAAAGGTTGGGTTGTGGAAATTTAAACTAGATATATTATTAATGATTGAATGCATTCCAAAAAGAAAATAAATCAGCAAATCGAATTAATTGGATTAAGAGTAAAGGAAATTATTTAAATTGGAAGCTAACATACTTAAATAAATGCTGCGTTGCATTAGAAAGAAAGAAATGAATGTATGCATATCATCATTCAAAGTTTCCCAATGAAAACATTGAAAATATATTCATCACCAAGTTGTTTTCAAGAACCGCACGTTTGACATATAAAAGTTGGAAATGAATGTCCTGTGCATTTTAATGTTATCAACTTAATTATAAACTTTGGGATTATTGAGCTGGTCATAAATATCTCGAGCTCCAAGTTATATTCATAAAGACGATCATATGATCTTGAAATTTTTCATGATAAAATATTAGATTCACCAATCACGAGTATTTATCATCAAAATTACACAATATTAAGGACCATGTTTATGGCCTGCCAGTGTCGATGTGATGAATGAGACTACTGAAATTAATAAATATGTAACGAGATATCCATTTGAATGCTTCTAAAAGCACTAGGAATATAATATGTATGTTTGGGTAAACTGTATTTCTACTGTTTTTTTCAAAAAACTGTCTCAGAAACATATTTTTTCCCATCTGATTCTGGCTAGATGCAATTACAACTTTCCAATTGCGGTCTCACTTCTTCAAAAAATGTATATATATATAATAGCCGCTGCAGTTTTTTGAATATCAGATAATTTTTTCAACAGTTTCACTATCGTTTTTTAATAAGCTACAACCACCTCAAACAAACCCTTACATACATACCACTTAATTCTTATTTATTTATATACATGCCACGTAAACTTCAACTTTTATATATACGCTACCTTGCATATGCATGATTTACATATATACAACTTTTTTTTTAGTTAAAATATTGATATTTTTGTTAAGATATGAATGTTTAGGCTGTATAAATGTGAAAAACAAAGTTTGTGTTAGAGATGTAAAAACATAAGAATTGGGTGGTATGCATGTAACTGCCCCAATGAACTGTTATTTTTTATTTTGAAAGGCTTACATGTCGTTTAATTCTTATGTGTTTACATATCTAACATATAAACCCTAATTTTTACACACACATATTTAACATAAGTATTGAGTTCCCTATTTATTTATTTATTTAAAACCATTAATTCAACCTTTATGTTTGTCATGATAATATAATTTAAGCATTACTCTTATAGTTCAACCGAAATATATATATATATATATATCTCAATACTTATTTTATAGCATTACTCAGCATACTTACCAGAACATATTTACGACAACAGTCTTCAAATAACACTTTTTTAGCGTACTTTATTGAGTATAGTGCCAAATAGTCTCCCACTATTTATATGGCCCATAGTTCATGAAAGTGTCAAAATTAAATTCTAATAATCATTCATGTTGATTTTGTAAGATAAATATAAAAAATCTCAGAAATATTTTGGCACTCTTGAACTAAAATAGACACACAAATGGTCTGAGACAATTTTGATACTTATACTTTATCATTGTGATACATTCATTTCACTCGAATTGCTAAAACTAATATTGATTCTAGAGATTTGAAGCAAACAATTAAGTAGAAATGCATACATATAAACACTGATTTAATGTGAAAAAAATAAAAAAATTGGGAAAAGCACGATGCAGCACCACACTAAGAAATTTACTATGAAATGATGAGAAATATATAAATTATACCTCACTCAAATGCTTTCTAATATCTTCAAACTGACAAACACTCATCATCTCTTGATAGCACAAGAGAAATTGACAAAAAAATCAACTATAGGGACTCTTCCTGGGCTCCAGAGTTTCCACACACTCAGTTTCAGAAGCTGGAAGCGAGCATATCGAGATGTTGGAGCTCCCGTCCCAAGCATCGAGTTTCAACTTGCCCGTGGAGTGTTGGGGCGGCCCATTGGCATTGGGGGGCCATGTCTTAGTGGCAACGGATTTTCTCTTCTAGATGCTTCTCCTCGCCAAACCACAGCCCACTTATAACATTTATCGACAAGGATAATGCAAGTAAATGAACTATTTAAGAAAAAAAATGGGAGAAAAATCATTTTTTTCTCTCCATATAATAGGAAATAATAAAAAAAATGCATGTAAAATGTTTTCATACTAAATCCACTTTTTTTGCAAGGATATTAAAGCCCTTCATTGCTTGGGTTAAATACTGCTTCAACTTCAACGAGAGAAGGAAAACAAAAATGGTGATCTCGCAAATTTAAAATAATCGTGGACTGAAGAACAAAAAAGCTCATAGAAGCTAAACGAGGTACGTCATTTTCAAAACTTCTTCAATAAATTTGTTTTTTACATATTCAATTGGAACATTTGACTTAAATACCATAATGACAATAAGAATGAAATTTCCGCATTATTTTCGTATTGCGAAACGGCTTTGGATCAGAAACAGAACTACCTAAATATAAATTTAAGACAAAGTTTTATTGCAATTAATAAATTGCAGAATTTGCGAGAAAATATTTTCAGTTATAAATAATAATTCCTTATTCTGAAAAAAAAAAAGTTATTATATCATGCCATTTAAAAAAAAAAAGGAAAAAGAAAAATAATACTTGTTAAATCGAACTGAGACCCACTTTGAATTAAACAAATACCCCTATAACATTGATAGAAAATTTAATAAAATAAAAACTAATAAAAAAATTGAATTGCCGTCATCCAAAGGCGAATTGTGAAGAACAAAAAAAAGGGGAATTTAAAGCGAGACCTGAGGGCGGAGTGATTAAATGGGTCTCATAATCATGCTCCCATTAGCAGAGAAGAATCAGAAGGAAGAAGGACTGGTTATAGATCGATAGAGGATTTCAGAGGGGAGGGAGAAAGAGAAACTGATAGAGATATTAGAGCAGATTTAAGAGATTATATTAGAAATAAACAGCAGAGGAATTCAGTTCTTTACCCGTCATTACCAAAATGTAAGTTTTCCTTTGTCTCTTGTTTAGAAGATTTTATTTTATTTTATTTTTTAAGATCTTTTTTCAATATCGAAGGACGATGTAAGTAGCGTAGGAAAGATGCAATTTTGTGATTTTATTGGGGATTTTTTGGGTTAATCTGTTGATATTTATTAGAACTTTGTTGTTCGATCGCCATGCGGGTGAGGAAGGAATGATTTGTGGATGAGTCGCCGATGGATTCGCTTCGTTTATCAGAAATTGTAAGATCTGCAACTATGAAATCTATATTGAGGGTTTCGGCCCTTTTTTTCCTTTGATTTTTTGGCCGGATTGCTAGATCCGTTTTAGCTAAAACTCTTTCAGTAATTATTCGATGCTTATGGTCTGGGAAAGATTCGATTTTTATGTTAATTTCTTCTTCTCCGCTGCTTATAGATTGTGCCAATCCATTTAATTTTCTCTGTCGATCATTCTCTGATTTATTTTATCTCTGATGTCAGTTAGGTTAATCAACGAACGCATTTTGAAAGAGAAGGATCAGAGTTTTGAGATCGGGTGGGAGAAACAAATCTTCCTCTGACGAAAGTTTCCTTAGAGATGCTGGAAGGCAGATCTTGCTTGATCTCAAGAGCGTTGCCAAGCTCCTGCGAGCAAGAGACCAAGTGGGCGTATATGACCCACCACCTTCTTGAGAGAACCAGCACCAAAAGATCCCTCGATCTTTCATCTGGAGATCAAGGTGATGTTTTGGACAAGGATTTAGTAATAAGAACCAAATCCATCAAGTTCACAGAATCCTCCCACTCCTCCTCCAAATCCGACTGCGCAGAGTCAAATAACCTCATCAGCTCAATTGGCCGAGATAATTCGATCAGCTGCCTCCTTCGTTGCTCCCGTTCTGACTATGGCTTATTGGCCTCCCTCAGTCGCGGATTTCGCTCTTTGATCAGAAGTGGAGAACTTTATCGCCTTCGAAGGGTGCATGGAATTACTGAGTCATGGGTATACTTTTCATGTGCTGTGGAAGAATGGGAGGCATACGATCCATACCGTGCTCGATGGATCAATCTTCCTAAGATGCCTCATAATGAATGTTTCATGTGCTCAGATAAGGAGTCCCTAGCTGTGGGCACTGAGCTTCTTGTCTTTGGGAAAGTAGTGAATTCCCACATTGTATTGAGATATAGTATTCTGACAAATTCATGGTCTCCTGGTGTTGCTATGAATTCGCCTCGATGCTTGTTTGGTTCCGCAAGCTTTGGAGAGAAGGCTATTTTTGCGGGAGGTTGTGATGCTGGTGGAGCAATATTAAGCTCTGCAGAGCTGTATAATTCAGAGACCAAAACCTGGACAACATTGCCAGCTATGAATAAGCCCAGGAAGATGTGCTCCGGAGTTTTTATGGATAAAAAGTTCTATGTGATTGGAGGTATCTCGAATCATGCCGAGTTACTTACATGTGGAGAGGAGTTCGATTTAGAGAAAGGAACTTGGAGGATTATTCCAAATATGTCATTGGGTCTCAATGGTGCGAGTGGAGCACCTCCACTTGTCGCAGTTGTCAATAACGAGCTATATGCCGCCCATTATGGAGATGAAGAAGTGGTGAAATACGATAAGAAAAACAATGTATGGGTGACGTTGGGAAGGCTGCCGGAAAGGCCTGCATCGATGAATGGATGGGGGCTGGCGTTCAGGGCTTGTGGGGAAAGGCTAGTGGTGATAGGTGGACCGAGGGCGTTGGGTGGCGGGGTGATTGAGCTTCATTCCTGGGTTCCCAGATATGGGGAGCCGCCGGAATGGAATATGATTGCCAGGAAGCAATCTGGGAGCTTTGTGTATAACTGTGCAGTGATGAACTGCTGATTTATTGAATTCTTACAACAGAAGGGAGAAGATTGGTTTGCTCAGGGTGTTGGATAATGATTCTTCGTATTATGGGTAATCTCTGCCTGCTCTGGAAATTGAGATTTAGAAGAGCTTTTTCTTCAGCGCAGCTTTTCAAGTTTTTATTTTTGTTTTTTCTTTTTCATTCTTATTTGGAATTTGTGCTCGAAAAAATTATTCTGCCCTTGTTTCTTTTTAGGGCGGGGGATTTTGGAGGTCTTGGGATCATGCAATGCAGTGACAGATTAATAAATCAATGCAGATGCTTCTTTACTTTGATTATTGAGGTTCCATTTGGCATTTGCTACATTTTTTTGGCTTGTTTGTGTAATTTTTATCGATCCTCCGTCTTGAGAAAAAAATTAAATGTTTTGTCTTGTATATGCTCTTGGTCATGATTATGTTTCTTTCACTTTTTTGAATAAAAAATATCTTATTTGCAGATCCAAATCTTGTTGATTTTTGTCATGACATTGCTGAAACTGCAAAATGAAACGAGTTTTAAATTTTCTGTACTGTTGCTCTTTTAATACAGTCTACAGCTGGTCCAACACAGTATCTTCTGCATGCTTACTCTGGCAATAGTTAAATCCTCAATGCTTATATATCACTGTATTAAACTGAAAAAAATAGTAGAAAAGGACCAGCAACTAGACTAAAAAAGTAATATGGTACTAGTAGCAGTTCAAAAAGGTTTATTTAACTATATTACAGACATTACTATCACTAAGATACATAAAACTGTTCTAAAAAGAAAAAAAGAATTAACAACTGGAGTTGAAATTGGGAGTGGGATTGAGTTCTCTCTGGGACTTTGATAGAAAGATTAGTCAGTTGACATAATTAAATTTTAAGCAGTTTATTTAGTACGTTATAGTTTTCTGGTTAATGCTTCTTGGTATGTATAATGTATGTATTTACATATCTAACACCTAAGCTTTAGCTTTTGCATTTATGTCACCCAAAATTTTAATATCATATAAAAAACATCATTATTTTAACTTTAAAAAGGTGAAATGTACCTTTTCATGCATATGTGAAGTGCTACATGTCTAAAAATTGAAGTTTAGATGTTAGATATGTAAATACAGAAGAGTTGAATGGTTTGTGTATTTTTTGATAATTTTTACTATGGAAAGATAATTCTTTTGAATAAATGAAAGGCAAAATGTGAAAACAACAGGGGACAATGTGTAGGAGAAATGGCCATATACAGCATTTTCAAGTTGTTTTTTTTAAAAGAACTATTCATCCTGGAGATGTGTTGATTCCTTCTTAAATTATTGCATTTGTTAATTGTTTTTTTTTTTCTGTGTTTTGTAAGGTAGTGGAATAATGGTCTAGTGTTCCATATACATGTGTGTTTAATTCACACTATTCTATATGTTCTTTTCTTTGACACTGTAGGCCTGGATCTGTATTGTTATTTTTTTATGCTTTGACCTGTTGAAATAATTTGAAATGACAGCTGCCAAGTGAATTCTTGGTGAATCATGAAGTATCAAAATAGTTCTATGATTATTTATATCACAGGGTCTATAAAAGGCCAACCAGTTCCCAAATTTTTTTTATATGAGCTGAAATGGTCCCATGGCAGATTATTTTAGCCCTGTTAAAAGAGCCTGGGATTGAGTTGGCATTTTTATAGACTCTGGGATTAAAATGACGCCTTACAAAGAGTCAGGGGTCAATTTTATTGAAGCAAGTTCTTATGATTAAGAAAGATGACAATCACATTCATAAATTAGTCTCATTTGACTTGGTGATTGAGTGATTTGCCTCCTACTGTATATTATTGAGTTCAAGTTGTAGCGCATGTAAGTGTGCTCGTGAGGTTTTGAGGCGAGGTGAGCATTCAAACTTGGCTCAATGGGATTGTTCATTTTGTTTTCAACTAATATGCTGCTCGTTCGAGCACTTGTGTCTGAGGTTTCTTCGTCACCTAAGTGAAGTTTCAAATTGAGGGGAAGAGAAGTGCTGCAGATGTGATCAAAGCAGTGAAACACAAATCAAAGTATCAGTGTGTTGTGGCCTTAGAGTTGCTTTTAAGTTAGTGTGGTGGGTCATATGATATGTTAGTATTATATAAATTTCTTAATGGATGGAATTTTGGCTTCTTTTTGCTATGTGCTCTCAGTTTTTGATGTGATTTTCAATTATATTAAGTGGGACTTGACTGAGACAATTGGAATTGCAAGGATGAAATGGAACTGGAGACAAACTTATACTGTAAATTTTTGGATGATTTACATGCATACCAATCAATTTTTATGTATTTACATGTCTAGCATCTAAATTTCAATTTTTACATATTTGCCATTTACTTAAATGTGTATATCACTTTTAAAAAGTTAAATAGAAGTATTTTTGATTCGGTATTAATGTAAAAAGCAAGATTTAGGTGTTAGAGATCTAAAAACGTAAGGATTGGATGGTATGTATGGAAATGCCCTTAGTTTTTTTTTTTTACATATATGCTGCAGTTTGATTCAATTTACAGTGTTTGATTTATCTTTATCTTAGTAATTTAATCTCATTTAAAAAGATCAAATATAATTGATGCTTCATCAATAATTTTTTATCCTGTAATATGAATCTCGATGCATTTTTTTTAGCAATGAATATTACAGATTCAAATTCAAGATCAACATGGGCCCTTATTTCAGCAAGTTTATAGTCCCAAGAAGCCGAACCTGATGATACCAAAGTTGGTTCAATCCAGGTTCAATCAAGCTTAGTTCTAACCATTGGAACATATTTAGAAGCTTTCGATTATCCAACAATCCCAAGGTCCCTCACTTTTTTATCAAAAGATCAAAATATCTCTATCAAAGACTATAAATAGACCAATATGTTATTAACCAAACAATTCATTTGAATCTTGCATGCATTTGTTCTCGTTTCTTGTTTTCTGAAAGTGGTTTGATCTGCTACTGCTGCTGTATTGGTTACTGTTCATGAAATTTATCGTCTGCGTCGATTCAGTGACTTTGTCGTGAAAACCCATTTATACATTTAAATTTGCGATTCTTCAAGTTCTAAAATGTAAAAAACTACACATTCAGATTATTTTGATAGGGAAAAGTTGGCGGGATTTGTTGTTCTCAGAGAAGCTAAGATTTTACCGTGTTTCTGTATGCTCTACTTTTGTTCTTAGAAACAGGTGAAAGTTGTGATTAGATATAATAGCCGCTATAAAGCCCATTGTACTGTTCTGATCATGTAAAGTCTAGTCATATGATTGATTCATTGCTATATATATATATATATATTATAAGAAAAATAATGTTAAATTAGTCTTATTTCTTAGTCCTGTTTGTAAAATTATCCATTTTAAGTTTTTTTTTAATGTGGTTTGAAATAGTCTTAAGAATTTATTTGTTTAATGTTTTAGTGTGGAGTGTCAACTGTCAAGCAAGTTGTGTAAGAGCATGCACTTATTAGCGATGCATATGCGGATGACCACCCCTTTAAAGTCAGGTCAAGTATGCAAGACAAACTTCACCCTTGAATGATGGCGATCCTCACTATTTTATCAGACATGTTAAAAATTTAGTGATTAATTTACACATTTATCAACTTGGGGGCTAAAATGATTTTATGTAAATCATCAACAGACTATTTCAACATATTACTCAATAATTTATTCTTTCTCTAGCATGAGTTGTGGATGAAAAGAATATTTAGAAGCTTAAGCTTGTGCTTGATGAATACCAACTCTTTTAACTCATAAACTTAAGCTTATGCAACATTAGAAAAAAAGCCAAACCATCAGACCATATTCTCATCTGTAAATCTCATAATAATTGTAAAATGCATCACTTTTCTTAAGGGCATAAGTTGCAGGTATCTTTTCATTTCAGTCAAATTATTTTACTCTGATTCAAGTTTTTAGGAAGCGTGGATTGAAGGGGGCTTAAAACCTATAAATCTTGATGGCTCAAATTATTTTAAACTCAAAATTTTAAAATTTAATTAACATATTTCATATGATAGAGTTAGAATTTATTTGGGGTTGTAAGACTGTAGTATTAGAAAATTATTGTGGATATTCGAAATTTTTCCTTAAGGAAAAATTAATAATAATTTATTTTTATCACAATAATATATTTGATTGTGAAAGTGATGAATATTAATATTGGAGAAAGTGATGATCAAATATGAATATTACAATGACCTGTAAAAACATACGTGCATGTTTCTTCAAACATGCTAAAAAGTACTTGATAAGGAGCCATGTGAATATGTCCCCCCTTTTTCTTCCATAAATCAATTAAATATAGCAGTTGATCAATGGTACTCTTCAAATATGAATATTCCTGTTTTTTTTTTTTTTTTTTTTTTTTTTTTTTTTTTTTTGTTAGAGATGTGGTGAATAGTTAGTTAGGGCATCTCTTTCCTGCATGAAATGTCCTGCCAGCACATGGGCTTGATATAGAGATGATGAGAGGTGAAGTGGATGTCAGAACCAATCATCAAAGCTTTCTATCAAAGGAAATACCATGGAAAAAGAAAAAGAAAAATCTAATGCTATACCAACGACCAGCCAAATGTGAATGAGATTGTGGTCCAGTAATAGGGGGCTCCATCTCCAATCAGATGATATGAGTTCAGTTCACGCTAACCTCACTAACCCCTAGTGCCCTTAAAGTTCAGCGAATTTAATCTCAAATACACGATCGACATACTTTTTGGACTATAGAGGTGTTTGCTACAATGAATTTAGTGTTAATGATTGTTATGGTGAAGACTTTATGATATTGAAAAGTCATAAGCATGTACCAACATGACTTGTTGATTTTTTTGTTGTTGCTAATATTATTGATTAAGATTATGATTTGAAAGAGCTTAATCCAACTTCAGAAGCAATAAGAAAGAACTTAATTTAAAAGATATTGAAAAGTCATAAGCATGTACCAACTTGACTTCCTCAATTTATTCATGAAAATAATATGTCAGCTACATCATCAACAAGTCTTCATTACCAATACAAATATCACAATAACTTTAAATATGAAATATTCAAATTTTGATTAAAAGTCATATGGAGCTTCAATTTCAGCAAACTCATAGTCAAATTGATCGGCTCAACGAGACAAACTCAATGATACCAGAATTGGTCCAATCCAAGTCATTTCAAACTCGATCAAGCCATTAAACTGCTTTGAGAAGCTTTTCGGGCATATTTGAAAGATCAAACAGATATCAAATCTAGCAAGGTTATAGTCGAATCAAACATCTCAATAAGACGAATCCAACGAACCTAAGGTCACTCAATTTTGACATTGTTAAAACACTTAAATATCCATTAAATGCCTTCCAATCGAGAGGATCTCTCTGGGTCACCTGATCAGAGTGGTTCATATTTCTACATTAATTGTAACCAGAATTCTATAATTAGAGCTTTACCCCCCACTTGAGAGGGGGGGGAGAGAGCTTGAAGCCTGAAGAAAACTGAAGCTTAAAACACTTAACCCTCATCCGCTACTCTCGCACATTTCGACTCTGAATCCCGTAGCCCATCTCCCAACAGAGATATAAGGCAAGGAGAGGAAAACAAGATTTAAGAATTAAAAAGATGTTCTTTTATTGTTAATTAATTGTACCTAATAAGAGAATTAATTTTTCCTCCTTATCAAACTAAAAAAAACATAAAATAAAATTATTATTTTAATTATATTAATAGGTCAACATTCATGAACTCTTTCTTTTAAAAATATTATAATAATAAAATACGAAGAATAATAATAGTAAAAATAATCATAATAATAAATGTCAATTATATTATATCAAAGTAATAACCGGATATTTAATCTTACATTCTAATTGATGTAGGATCGATAGTTGAATTTGTAGAAGTATCATATTTGTTGCTTCAAGGCAATTAACTACTATTTATCATGAGATATACGTACCATTTCTAGTTAGAAGTGTTATTTTTGCTAATTGTATATTGTTCATTCATACTGTTTAAAGTATGTTCATATAACGCAGTGGGTTCTATCTTGCACATTTTGACTTCAATGTATAACTAACCTTTTTCTATTGCTACTTAGCACTGTGTTTAATTGTTCACACTTCATGAATTTAATTTGAGTTATGTTTTTTAACTTTTTGATGCGGCAAATCTCATTATTTTTGCTACATAATTGTTTATAAATATTGGTGGAAATTTATAATTATATTATGGTATTTTGATTGTGATGCATGAATTATAATTAATATTATAATATTATTATGTCACTATTAAACTTTTTGTTATGATCATCCGGACCTACCGGTTATTTAGAGAAATTTATGGATTTCCAAGAGATTGGTGCCTAAATTTTCATGTTTCAGGATGTCGCAGTAAATCGACTGGATATAAATATAATTAAATGTATATATATTTATATACTGAAATTGTATATTATGAGATAGTGTGAACTAATTAATTATTTATATATGTATCAAAACACGTAAAATTGTAGCATGTAAATATCTATAGAAAAGTTTGTGTTTGAGTAATTCTTATTCATCATCATAAGCATATGACATCCTTGCAAATTCTTTTATACACATAATAAATCATCATAATTTTTTGGTCTTCCTGCATACCCCATTTTCGTTGTCGTTTATCTTTTAATAAATAACAATTATTTATTGAGTTTGATTTTAAAATTCATCCGTTGATATTTTTATATAACAAGTTTCATCCAACCACTTACCAAACCATCTCGACCGAAGTTGACTTTCCAGATTTAATTTTACTTTTGGTATTTTTTTTAGTTTTGTATGAGTTATTGTATTTTTTTTCTGGGTTGGATGGTTGTTTCATTATTTTCATTTTAGTTTCATTTAGTTGTTTCATTTTCTTTGAGTTGTATCGATTAGACTCTTTAATTATTAAAGAAATTTAAAATTTTCTTATTTGTTTCGATTATTACTTGCATATTCTTTACTTTTTAGAATACAAAACATGCTTAATTATTTTCATTTATTGGAGTGTACCATCTTCTGGACTATGATATTAATCTCTATGAACATAAATCAATATAACAATATCCTATTCAACTTTATCCCCCTAAAAACTAAATTTTTACCCAAAAACAAAATGTTCAATGTGCTTTAATTTGTAAATTAAAATCATGAACGGCCTCTTGTTTTGCAACCCTACCGCCGCCCCGACTTTGGTAGATTTGCATTTCCTTATATTTCTTGTTGCTAACCCTAACCGCTTCTCGCAACCTCATAAACAATTCTCCCTACAGAGGCCCGATATCTTCTCCCACACCTTCCCGCCGCGGGAAATAGCGCAGATTTAAAACGGCGAGAAATTTATCAGAAGGGAATCAGTACAATCTTTTCAAATTTACTCAGGTGGCGTTTTGCACCCCTTACATCACTCTTCTCTTTTTTTTTTTTTTTTTTAATCCTTTGTTAGCTCCCCAAACCCTCTACCAAATCCAGTTCAAAAGCTTCGATTTTGCAAAGCATAACAAGATAAAAAACTCGTCTTTTGTACTGCAAAAAGATGTCAGCTAAATGGCGAGCATTACAGCACAGACACCGTTACACCTACAATTCAGTGCTATTCCCTAAATCCTACATTGAAACCCTCAATCGCCTCCACCCAGAAACCTTTTACTCCTCCGATTTCTTCCCTAAATTGAAGGAATTCATCTCCTTGAACTCCACATACTCACAAATCTCTGCTGTGAAGGACCTATCTTCATCTTTCTCCCAATTACTGAACTCTCCATGCATTCAGGAAGGCGTGGTCTCCATAGCCATCGGACTTTACTTGGAAATACTCTTTCTTGAAAATTCCCTCCCTCTCCACCGAACCGTCATCTCCCCTCTTGCCAAGAATAAGAAGTTTCTTCCAGCGATCTGTAGCTGCTTTGTTGCTCTTTGCAAGGAGTATCAGGATACAGGTAAAGATGGAATGAGAAGATTTTTAGTTTCGCGAGCAGCTTTATCTTTGATGGGCTACCCCAAATTGGGATTTTTAAATGAGACAGTGGAGAAATGTTCGACCTTGGTAGCAAGTGATATTGCTTCAGGTTTGGCCAGTGTGATTTTCGATGTTGGCCGTGGATCTAGACCATCCCCCATGGTGATGGAGCAATGCCAAGATGCCATGTCTTGCTTGTACTACTTGCTTGAAAAGTTCCCGCACATCTTATCAGTCCTAGAAAATGGTTTCTGCACATTTGATCATATTATTGGTATCATATTGAATGTTTTGAAGTCATCGGCCTTCTCAAGGGATTGCTTGGTGGCTGCTGGTGTGAGCTTTTGCGCTGCAATTCAGGCTCGTGTAAGAGCTGAGGAGGTCTCATGTTTTCTGTCAAAAGCAGTCTTTGATTTTTCTGTTGGAGATAGTGATATCATGGAGTTAGCTGGGAACTTGTGTTTAGAAATAAGGGGCTTCTCAATTTTAAGCAGGCTTTGCTTGCTGAGAGGCATATTGACTGCTGTTTCTAGGGCCGCGCTCAATATATGCTTCAAATCAGACAATGGCTGTGTGTGGACTCTACTTTATAATGCAATTTTGCCAGAACTTTGCCAATATTGTGAGAAACCAATTGACAGACATTTCAATTTTCACGCTTTGACGGTCCTGCAAATTTGCTTGCAGCAGATGAAAACATCAATATCAGTAGGTCTAACTGATGTATCAGGAGATTATGTTCCTCTTTCTGAAGAGATGATGAGCCGCTTGCTTAGGATTATATGGAATAATCTTGAAGACCCTCTCAGTCAAACGGTAAAGCAGGTGCATCTCATCTTTGATCTTCTTTTGGATATCAAATCATATCTTTCATCAGAAGATAGCAAAGAGAATTATAAAGCTTTGTTGCACAATATTGCTTTAGAGCTTCTAAGGTTGGGAGCTCATTGTAAAGGCAAGTATGTGCCTTTAGCTTCACTCGGAAAACGTTTGGGTTCAAAGTCTCTTCTAGAACTAAATCCAAACCTTCTTTTGGAAACGCTTTATGGCTATATAGATGATGATGTTTGTTGCGCGGCCACATCATTTCTAAAATGTTTTCTCGAACGTTTGCGTGATGAGTGTTGGAGCCATGATGGTATTGAAGAAGGATATGAAACTTTTAGAAAATTATGTCTTCCAACCTTATTGCATGGACTTATGTCTGGAAATCCAAAACTTAGAACGAACTTGAACACCTATGCGCTCCCCACCTTACTTGAGGTTGATTCAGATAGCATATTTCCAATGCTTTCTTTCGTATCTGTTGGGCCTTGCTTGGAGGGAGACTTCAATGTGGATCTGAAGCTTGATTCATGTGTGGCTGCTCTTGTTTCCTTGTTTAAGGTGTCTCGCACACTTGCTCTCATTGAGGGAGACATTGTTCTGGACTGCGATTCATCGAGCGAGCCATGCAGTACCAATGGTGTTGCTGTTGTTTGTTTAAAAGGGATTAATGTTAGAGTGCCTGTTGACTGGTTAATTCTTGCTTTGACTCATGCTGATGAAAGTTTACGGGTTGATGCAGCTGAGTCTCTGTTTTTGAATCCCAAGTCAGCCAGTCTCCCATCATCGTTAGAGCTCATGTTGATGAGAAAGGCCGTTCCTTTGAACATGCGGTGCTCTTCGACAGCTTTTCAGATGAAATGGGCAAGCCTGTTCAGAAAGTTCTTTACTCGGGTTCGATTAGCTTTAGAGAGGCAGGTGAAACAAGGTCTATATGAGAGGAAAACAATGGCCATGGAGCTTTTCCAGTTCATGAAGTGGTTGAGTTCCTTTCTCTTTTATTCATGTTACCCTTCTGCTCCATATGAGAGGAAAACAATGGCCATGGAACTAATCCTGGTAATGATGGATGTTTGGCCTCTGAAGATGTTGCAAGACAATCATACTCTCTGTCCTTACAACGACGGATTTACTTCTGCAGATTCAACTCTGTTGTTAGTTGGATCTATAATTGATAGTTGGGATAAGTTGAGACAAAATTCATTTCACATTCTTCTACATTTTCCCACTCCTCTCCCTGGTATTTCTTCGCATTACATGGTGAGCATGGTGATTCATTGGGCGAAAAGGCTGGTCTGCAGTCCACGTGTTAGGGAGAGCGATGCTGGCGCTCTAACCTTTAGACTAATTTTTAGGAAATATGTCATGGAACTTGGTTGGGGCATTGGAAGTTCTTTAAGGAGCAGTCAACTTGATTCCCATTCAGATATTATGAGGTGTGAGGCTCCACTTGTGGCATACATATCGGCGCTCATCGAATGGCTTCACATCTCTGTTGAAGAGGGTGAAAGGGATCTCGCCAAAGCATGCCGAAACAGTTTTGTTCATGGGGTGTTGCTTACTTTGCGGTACACGTTTGAGGAGTTTGATTGGCGTTCGGAGGAGGTGATGTCGAGTATGATGGAGATTCGATGTTTGCTTCAGAATCTGTTGGAATTGATTATGAGGGTGACATCGTTGGCTCTGTGGGTAGTTTCTGCAGACGCGTGGTATATGCCGTATGACATGGATGATGTTGTTGATGAAGCTAATTCCTCATTAGGGATGGATTCAGTGGAGTCCTCTTTAGAACAAGTTAAGAAATTTGATGATAATGAAAAACCAGCAGAACATGCTGTGATGGTTGGCTGTTGGCTTGCAATGAAAGAGGTAATGTGCTTCTCTTAATTCATGTTTCTAGGTCTTTTTACAATATATCTGTTGTTGAGAAATGTGCCGAGCTGTTTCCTGACTCTTTGGAGGGTCATTTTAGTCCCAGAGTTTATGAAATTATCAATTTAATCCCGACTATTTTAATATATGTTGAAGTAGTTCACGATGAGTACTATTTTAGTCCCAACTAAAATATTCCACAGACTAATTTAGTACTTTTATAAACTCTGAGACTAAAATAACCCAATGTAGAAAGCTGGGGACTATTTTGGCACTTATTTCTTCTGTTATTTATAAATTTGTTTCTGCAAAGTTCTTAAAGTTTGGATTTTTTTCTTTACTTAGCTTTACTGGTCACTGAATTTGTCCCTTTTTTAGGCCTGTGTTGCCATTATTATTATTATTTTTCTCTAGCTTAATTAGATTTTTGTTGCCTAATTATTTAAGGGGGCGGAAGTTATAAACAGTAACCATTCATTCAAATCAACAAAAAATTGTTTTCTAATTGTTTTAATTTTTCAGGTGAGTCTTCTTTTAGGAACTATTATTAGGAAAGTTCCATTGCCAAGCTCCTCCATATCTGAATCATCTAAGCATGATTATCCAGTTAGAAATGGTGATGAAACAGAAACGATTGTAACCGAAGATGGGTTGCTCGATCTGCAACAACTCGAATCTATAGGAAGCCATTTCTTGCAAGTTCTGTTGAAGATGAAACACAATGGTGCGATTGATAAGACCAGGGCTGGTTTCACTGCCCTTTGTAATCGTCTTCTATGCTCAAATGATCCTAGGTATGTTTTACATTTTTCTCTTCATTCCTATTGGCTCTTGAATAGTTTATTTATTTTATTGATTAGATTTTTATATGTTATAAATGATTATATCAATTGCAAGATTTAATGACTTTAGATTGATTAATCAAATATTATCTGATTTTATCATAACATGATATATTATTTACTTGTTAGATTAATCAAATATTATCTGGTTTTCTTTCATCCACAGGCTCTGCAAAATGACAGAATCTTGGATGAAGCAGCTGATGGAGAGAACAATTGCTAAAGGCCAAACTGTCCTGCTGCCTTCATTGCATTTTTCCTGTCAGAACCAGAGGGAACGCCAAAGATTTTACTCCCAAGGGCATTAAACTGGCTGATTAATGTTGCCAAAAAGCCATTGTGCGAAGATTGCGAAGTTCATGACCAGAATGATGAGGTATCAGACAAGACTTTTATAAAAGATCGGAACGAAGCAAATGGAGGTTCCTCTAAGATGAGAGATGAGGGTGTGATACCAACTGTTCACGCATTCAATGTGCTCAGAGCCTCTTTCAATGACACGAATTTAGCATCAGACACGTCCGGTTTCTGTGCCGAGGCATTGATTGTTGCGATAAGTTCTTTCTCGTCGCCTTACTGGGAGATCCGAAACAGTGCTTGTCTTGCATACACTTCATTGGTTCGTCGAATGATTGGATTTCTTAATGTACATAAACAGGAATCTGCCAGAAGGGCTTTAACTGGCCTTGAATTTTTTCACAGGTATCAATTTTACCATGCTTAACTTCTGTGTCATGTGTTAGACACCTAAATTAAGTGAGTCCTATTTCAGTGTTATGGATTGCAAGTATTATATATTATTTCACTTATAGCTTAGTTATATTTTAAGACATTTATTGTGGATCAAATGCAACTATTAGTTTCTTCCAGCTAAGTTTGTTTTTAGCTCTATTCTGTTAGTGATTCACACCTTTTTATTAATGAATATTGCAGAGTCGGCTTAAAGCAGGTCATAGACTTCTCTATCAGGTGCAGAGATCAATTTGAGATTTCACCTTTTTTTTTTCCCTCTTCCTTGAAGGTACCCAGCTGTTCATCCATTCCTGTGCCGCGAACTGGAGATCGCCACTAAACAGCATGGTGATGAACATTCCATGGATGCAGATTTGAGCATTACTAAAGCTGTTCATCCAAGCTTGTGCCCAATTCTCATTCTTCTATCCAGGCTAAATCCATCACTTATAAGCACTGAAGCTGATGATCATTTAGATCCCTTCATGTTAACACCTTTCATACAGAGATGCGGAACCCAAAGCAACCTTCGTGTTCGTGTTCTCGCGGCAAGGGCTTTGATTGGTTTAGTTTCCAATGAGAAACTGCAGGCTGTAGTCATCGAGATGATCAATAGTTTACCCCATGAAAGGCATCTGATGACTAGAACCCGCTTTTCTTTTAACTCAATCCATGGAGTTCTCTTGCAGCTGTCTTCTCTTCTTGATAACAATTGCAGGAATTTGTCTGATACTATGAAGAAAGATGATATTCTTGGCGAAACCATTCGTGCCCTTAAGCTGCGTACGTGGATCGGTTGTGTCTGGTCATGCCCTTGTCCTATGTTGAATAGCACATATCTACTAGTTTTGGATCAGATGAGTAGCATTGCGTTTTCCTACTCAAGCAAGCATACAATTACCATTAAAAGCCTGTTGGTGAATCTAGCACTTGCATGCATCAGTGAGAAAAATATTTCTGGTTCTGCTTTATCTGACCCAACAATGGTTGAGCTCCGCAAGCAAGCAGCTGCATCTTATTTTAATTGCCTATTTCATCCTAAAAATGAAGCTCCAGACCAATCTTCTGAGCTGCTGAGTCATAACAAGCCTACCTTTAATCTGAGTAAGCTATCACCAAATCTTCACGAGAGCATTGTTTCTTGCATCTCTGATTCTATGTATGAAGTTCGAATCATAACGCTTAAAAAGCTGCTTCAGCTTACGAATTGTATGAATTCTGGCGGCGAAGATGATGAGAAATCTTCCATTTATGTCTGGGTGAAGACAGATTTGCCATCCGTTCTAATGAGGTTATTGTCAGAGGAAGAGAACCCAAAATGTGCTTACTACATGTTAAAGATCATCTTCTCTTGTAGCACCATTCACTCCAATGACGAATTTATAGATTGGAACACAGCATTCTGTTTCTGGGAGAAATTGGTTCATCTGAAGGATACAGTAAGGCGTGCGAAGACTAGAGAAATTTTACTTTGTTGCATGGCTATATGTACAAAGATGCTTGCCAAAATGCTCAGGAACTTTGCATTGGGTGACCGGTCCCAGAAACAAAGAGATATTACCAGAGCCTTTAAGTGTATTAATTCTTTTATTATACTAACTAAACAGCATAGTACACCATCTGAACCTGTTAACATGAGAAGAGCTGCAGCAGAAGCCATAGTGGCATCAGGTTTGCTTGGAGAAGCTATTTTTGTTGCTTCGCATGTGTCGAACAACAGTACCCTATCTGAAGCAGCCATTGCCATCGAAGAGGAAGAAGAGCTTCAAGCTAATACGACAGAGTTTGTGAATCTCTATGCTAGCAGAATTCTGGATTTGTGGTTCATATCCATTCAGCTCTTAGAAGATGAGGATCTTTTGCTCAGGCAGAACCTTGCCAAGAATGTTCAGAAATACATAGATTTCAGGGTCTCCGAGGTCGCAAGGCAAGTTGATAAAGTGATTGAATTAAGCCTTGGATTCTTATCTAAAATCTTTGGCCACTGGCTCGAGTACATACAATATTTAATGAGGTATGTTTCAATGACTGCCGGTTTGGTGAGTTTTCGAGGCGATCTGGTTCGGAAGATTTTTGAAAAAGAGATTGATAACCACCACGAAGAAAAGCTTTTGATATGCCAAATCTGTTGTTTTCATTTGGAAAAACTGCTAGCTCCAGGATCAGAACGGCTCGATGATGATCGGGTGAAATTATTGCAGAAATGGAGGCTCAGATTCTTGCACCTACTGATATCATTTGCTGATGGTTTTCTTGCGACAGAGGGAGATAAGGAATGGATTGGAGGCATAGGAAACCACAAGGATGCTTTTATATCCATCTATGCTCTTCTACTAGGCCTTTATGTCCTTTTTCAATCATCAGAGGGTTTGAGAGATCTAGATGAACTGTATTTGTCCAAGTTCTCTGAATTTAACAAGATTATGAGACCCTTTATCCAAAATCCTCTAATATCAAATATGTATCTTACGTTAATTAGATTGCTTAAAAGGTTGGGGGTTTCATTTGGTTTAGAGTTATTTGAGCCAAAGGAATATAGCTCCAGCTGGGAAGAATTTGATCCCTATTTTCTTTTAAGGTGAGGTCAATTCTTCCAGTTTTTTTTGGCTTGGAATTTTGTGCCAATTAAAAAATGTTTAATATTCATTTAATGGAAGCTGGTCTTTGCAAAGTCTGCAGGCTTGTTCATTCATTGTGGTCACCTTTCAGGCTCCTGTATAAATCTAAGCTTAAGTATTTGGTGTTTACCTAAAATTTGGGTTAAAGTGAATTTAGAGGCCAATTAAGCCCCAAAATATCAAAGCGGGTTTTAAAATTGTGTTTGTTTTATTACCTAATTATGGTTCAACAATCTTGCTCAGGAGATTGAAATTCGCAAATACATGCATTAGAAAAGGGGATTAGCGACGATACACATAACACAACAATCGAGTCTTTTTTGCATTCAGTTATGGCTGATGATTCATCTCCCAATTCAAATTTTACTGTAAGGTGATTACTACCAAACACTTCTACATGATCTGGGATTTATTGAACAATAATGAATTCTCTCAGCCCCTATAATGAATTGAATGAATATCATCATTAATAATTTATTTATTTGTAACATCTGACAAGCTGTTGAAATATTAATATACCTTTTCTGATAGCGCGAATATCTAATTTTGGGGGTGTAAAAGCCTTACTTATTCCCTCATTTTATTATGATTAAAATACTTGCCAAAATAATTTCAGACATTATTTTACATTGCTAAATGCTTATTAATTTTAATATATTATTAGCAGCATAATTTTATAAAAAAGAAAACATTTCGAACAAACTTTACCCCTAATCCTCCCCATATAAATTGTGACTCACTCCAATTGAACATCCCAATAAAAATTGGGGGAAAATATAACACTTTTGCTAATAAATTTAATGATATTACGAAAGAGGAGAACCAGCCATAAAAGAATCAATAGCATTTGTCCGCCATAAAAAATGGAATTATTGAGAAAAAATAGAAATTCTAAGAATATCCTGCATTCGTAAATCATATAAATCAAAGAAGAACATGAGACCAGGCTAAAAAGTATTTATTTTGGTCAACTAAAAAGCTAATTTGAATCAAAAGAAAGAGAAAATCAAAGTCTAAAGAGCAAACTGTCTTGAATTGAAGAGGAAAAAAAGGCACCGACGTTAGTTACGGCAGTTCTTCTGTGAATTTCTGTATGAAATCAAACTTTATATCCAACGCAGAATGATTAGTCTTCATCTTCTTTATCGTTGACTGTTGCATCATCCTCGGCATCATTTTTCTTTGTTCTTCCATATCTTCATGATCATCATGTGATGGTTCGACAACAGACCGGTCTTCGGTTTCACCACGCGCGAGAACCTTACTCCGAATTTGAAAATAACAAATAATTTTATCGACTTTAAATTAAAATTACATGCTGCTGTGAAAGCATAGATTTGCATGAAAATCCCTTTTCCTACGTCTATTTCTCTACCAGCTTTATTAACGTCCTTCTTTAAAACAGATGCTGCAATATTTAGGGATTTAAATAAACCAATGCACTTGATGAATAACTTCAACTCGGCTAGACTAATTCTTGATCAAGTTTGTTCAAATAACTAAATAAATAAGTTTCGACCACTTTTCAAATCTTGAAGGTTAAATGAACCAAACTTAAACAAAGCTCAAATTGTTTATTCATATTCAAGAACAAATTGGTTTATTGCTCAACAAATTGTTCAATGCTCTCTAATAAATTTAATGATAGACTATAGCAAATATGATATATTATTTAAATTAAATTTGGTTAATTAGAATTTATTTAATTATAAATTTAATAGTAATATATTATAATTTAATATTAACATGTATTATAATTTAATACAACAACAACAACAACAACAACAACAAGCCTTTATCCCACTAAGTGGGGTCGGCTAGATAAATCCTTTTTCTTTATTGCGTTATTGAGTGTCATATTTTCATTTAATTTTATCAGATTAAGATCATTTTTTATACAATATGCCCGAGTCATTAATATGCTTTTATAGAATATGCCCAAGTCTTTCTAGGTCTACCTCAGTCTTTCTTAACATAAGTCAAATCTAAAACATCTACTCTTCCAACCGGATTATCAAATGGTCGACGTTTAATGTGATCAAACTATCTAAGATGACTCTCTCTAATTTTATTTGCCATGGGAGCTACATCAATTCTATCACAGTAATATTCATTTAGCATTTTGTCTCTAAGTGTCAAGCCACTCATCCACCTAACTCATCCACCTAAGTCATCCACCTAAGTATTCTCATCTCGACAACACTTAACTTTGTTTTATGTTTCTCTTTTAAAGGCCAACAATTTGCGCCATAGAGTATTGCAGGTCTCACCACCATCTTATAAATTTATCCTTTCAATCTAAAGGTACTTTTCTATCACACAATACGCCTTGATGCATTCCTCCACTTCAAACAACCAACTTGAATTCTACTGATAACATCCCCATCTATCTCACAATCACTATGAACAATATACTCGAGATATTTAAAACGTTCACACCTTTTAATGATTTGATCATAAATAGTTACAACTCTGCCACTAGAACTCCTATTGCTAAAATTACATTCAATGTATTCAGTTTTAATTCTACTCAAATGAAGGTCTTTAATCTCCAATGTAGGTATTCATAATTCAAGTTTTTTCTGAACATTTTCCTAGTCTTATCCAAAAAAAGGATAACATCAACAAAAAGAATACACCAAGCTACATCCTCCTCTAAATGTCCAGTAAGACCATCCATAACTAAAGCAAAATGATATGGGTTTAAAGCCGATTTCTGATGTAATCCAACTGAAATAGAAAAATAATGGGTCAATCCTCCTACTGTCCGAACACAAGTAATAGCTCCAATATACATATTTTTAATGATTTGAATATAAGTCATATCAACACCTTCTCTAGAACTCTCCAAAAGATTTCTCTCGGAACCTTATCATAATCTTTTTCTAAATCAATAAAAATCATATGTAGATTCACCTTATTCTCTCTGTACTTTTCCATCAAACCTCTTAATAACTTTATAGCTTCCATAGAAGACCTGTTCGACATAAATCCAAACTGATTATGAGAAATTTTTGTAACACGTCTTAACCTATGCATTACACTTTCTCATAATTTTAAAGAACGACTAGGGCTGTAAACGAGCCGAGCTTAAGCGAGCTCAGTCTTCGCTCGTGTTTGACTCGTTCGAAATAGCTCGTGTTTGTGTTTTAAATCGGCTCGTGAACAATGTGTTCGTGTTTTGCTCGATTTAAATATTTGTGTTTGTGTTCGGCTCGAATGTGGCTCGTTAAAATTAAATTGAAAAAAAATAGAAGTAAAGTATTGAATTCGAACCTGAATCAAATGTATGCAAAAGAAAACACTAACCACATTATCACACGAGGTGTTATGATTTATATATATATATATATAATGATTATTTTAACCAGTCGGTGCAGATGATTATTATAGGATGAAAGGGATGAAATCATCGGGAAACTCACCATCTGCTCCTAATTATGATTTATATATATATATATAATGATCGAGCGAACGAAGAGTTGTTCGTGTTCGACTCGTTTATAATTCGAGCTTTAAAAATTTGTTCGCGTTCGACTCAGTTGTCATTTACTTGACGAACGAGCCGAACACGAGCTGTTCGCGAACGAGTTTTTTTGACAGCCTTAAGCACGACAAATTAACTTAATTCCTCTATAATTTGCACACTCTTGAGCATTCTCTTTATTCTTAAAAATAGGGAGAAAAATACTCTTCCTCAACTCTCAGGCATCATTTTAGTTTTTAAAATAAAATTAAAGTTTAGTAAGCCAAGAAATTCTCAAATCTCCTAAATATTTCAACACTTCAATTAGGACATCCTCAGGTCCTACTGATTTCCCACCCTTAGTTTTCTTTAAAGCTTCCTCAACTATTTTTTTTATTAATGCGATGATAAAAATAAAATATTTTATTACTAATAACAATATTAAGATCATTAAGGTTGACCGTATTTTCAGAAACTTTATTATAATTGAATATAATTTATCTTTTTTATTTTGAGGAAATAGTTTGTTAATACTTATTTAAATTATTTGATTACAATAAAATTTCCATTCAACTTATTATTATCTTAAATAACTAGTTTATACCAGTTAGATGCTAGTGTGCCAAAATATTTGAGGTAATAGAATGATGATTTAATGTTTTAAGCTTGCAGGAAAACCTAGCACACATAGAAAATTGAAATGTAAATAGAGGAGACACCAAGATTTTTACGTGAAAAAAATCTGAAAAAGGAAAAAATATTAGTAAGTAAAGATCGTCGAAGGTGGCGAGCAAAGGCGGCCAGCAATGGTCGACGACGATTGGCGGCTGCAGAGGCTAAAATTATTGCCAAATCTTTACTCTAGAACACTCTAGAATTCCCGATCTTTTCCTCCCCTTTTCAAGCGAAGAGAGAAGGTCTATTTATAGCCTTCAAGGGAGGGGCATTATGGTCTTTTTGTGAATCACTTTTCCAACAATCTGATCTGACGACTTAAATTGATCCTCCCCTAAATCAAGGGTTTTTTAAAGGATTTGTGTGCCCTCTAACCTCGAAATTCAACGAGTTTAGGATTATTGGATTCCTCTCATTGAGACACTCAATTTAACTATAATAATATTAAATTTGAAGCCCATTTGATCATTAAATTGACGATTGAAAACATCAAATTGTGTTTCAATAACTTGATCTGGGCTTAATTGGATCAACCTAGATTAAATCAATTTTGGTTATTATTGAGTTGTCTTGTCAAGACGGTCAGTTTGATTAACAATTTCCAAAAATTAGAGTCTGGGATGACCTCAAATTTGAGTTTGGAATGTTTCTTGCTAAAAAAATACCTTGAAATACATGTCAGACAATAAAAAATTGTTGATTACTGACATGTCTTTTAGAATGTTAAATTTCATTTACATTTTGTACTTGTTTTTGAATAAAATTGCACTTTAAATAAGAATATTTTCATGTTTTTATTACGTGTATAACAAACACGAAACATGAAGCGAATTGGAGTTGAAATGGAGAGAAGTGGAGACAATTGGAGCAAAGAGGTTGCCAGCAGATTGGCGCCTAGGCGCTAGTGTTCTCCCAAAAACAGAGAAGACGGTGCCAAGGCGCCAGAGCTGTCCGGGGCAGTTTCTGAACGAACCAAGGAATTATTTGATGAATTCAGATGGTTGGAAAGGCACTTTTTGGCATTTCAAAGTCCGAGAATCCTCTAAGGATGCCAAGAAGTCATAGATAGTAGTGGGGATTGTAAATTTTTACGTTTACTTGAGAGATTGGAGAGGAAATTTGAGTGCAATTCTGTAAGGATTTTGTATCAGCATTATAAGGAACAGTTGAAGGCTTTGCTGAAGGGATTTGCATCTTTTTTTCATTGGAAAAAAATTAAGTATTGTGTTCTTTATTTATTGGTGTCTGCTGTAAACACATTTGATGGATTTGCTTTGATGTAATAAAATTTTCTATTGTGTTAAACATGCTTTGTGAGTAGAATTTCTTTCCAATTTTCTTGTGATGAATAAGTTGAATGTGTAGGATGTTATAATGCTTATAGAATTGATCTTTAAACCTTAATATGATGGTTTTTACTTCATGCTTATTTTACTTATCAATTGATCAATTTGTGTGTTAAAATTTGTTGTGAATCCATATTGACTCGAGAGAGCTATGACTTAACAACTAGGAGAAACCACATTGAACTAGTGGGTGAAGGCAAGGTGGTTCATAGGACAGTACAAATAGATAGAGAAATACGCTTTGAAAGGTATAAATTGGAGACTCTAGGGTGACAGGTTAGAATCGTAACCAATGTAATCTAGGGTTTATGAAATTAATACTGGATTAACCAAACTTCTTTATGCACTCGACAGAGGGTAAAAAAGAGGAATGCTTCTATTTGTCACTAGCTACATTAGCAATTCATGGTATTTGATCCTACAATTACTTATACAATCACAAGAGAAATGTAGCTTTTATATCTTGATCTAGATAGGTTTAACTTAGTCATATAATCTTAATTTAGGAGTAGTTGTCAGGAAAACCAACCTTAATCGACATTCTAAACTGAGACCTTAACATAGTAGGCTAGAACTTCTCTTATTGGACTCATTACCATGTTCTCTTTGGGATAAAAAATCCGGACTCAATAGAGCCCTATATTATTAAAATAATACGTATGCTTGCGTGAGAAACCCCAATGAGTAATAATACCTAATTTTAAAAACTCAACATATTTGCTAAGGAGCATATTAAGTTTATGGTGCCTCTACCAGGACTTATATAAAGTGCTCATCCCTGGGGTGGATTGATTACGAATTAGTTGCCACTTATTTTTTGGCGATGATTTTGTCGTCTGAAAATACATTACGAAAATTTGTACTTTGAGGAGATTGGAATTGTCACGGATGCTTTGTGAAATTTCAATCATGGTATTGTTGCCTCAATTGGCTAGGACCAGGCAATTGTGGTCAAGAGACGATGATGGCGGTGAGATGTCAATGATCAAGTGGCGGTAGTTGTCAGAGGATAGTGGTAGGTGTATGAAAATATAGATATATTTGCACGAATGTACATGCGTGTTTGTACAAGCAAAGGAGTATGATTATATAGTAAGGGTACAATGGAGTCCACAAGGTACTACGAATGCAAGCAGGGATGTGATGGCACATGCAAATATGAGCAAGCACATGTTGGTGGGCATGCACTGGCGTGCTAATGCTACACGGGTTGAGACGGGTCGGGTCGGATCGGGTCGTGATGAGTGTAAGTGTACAGTTGTGCTGGCTGTCACAGGTTAGGTCGGGTTGCAATGAGAGTCTACTAATAGTTGCGTGGGCTGCGACATGTCGGGTCAGGTCTCAATGTGTGTCAATAAGGCGAACGAGGGCTGGATCGAACTGTTCAACAGTTTGTGAGTTGAGTGTGCAATCGTGTACGTGCGTCCGCACCTGTGGTCTATTCCGTGGAGTGAACCTTAAAAAATTCCATTTTTTTTTATTTTGGCTCCTAACTTTGATTTTTTTTTCCTAAAAATAAGCCCGCATTGGGAGGGGGAGAAAGCAAACCGTTGCTCAATAGATCAGAGTCCCTTTCAAGTTACTGCTACCTCACCTTTTGGGCTATTGTTGCCCAATGACAGAGTCCCTTTCAGACTGTTGTTGTCTCACCTTATGGGTTGTTGTTGCCCAACATCGAAGTCCCTTTCATGTTGTTGTTTCCCTTATATGGGGAAATTTCTCATATGCTTAATTATCCTTCGAGATCCCAATGTCTAGGGAATCCCCACACCCAAAAACTCACAAAAAGTACTAGAATCCTAACGATGTGGTATCACACTTACTGAAGATGCTCCAATACTATTTCAAAAAAAGAATATTTTTCAAACGAATTGGTGGTCAAGTTGCCTACCTCGTCCAATCGTGTTTATCTCCACATGAATATGTCACGATTTATGAGGTGAATTTGCAGGCCGGTCTACAGTTTCCATTGTTGCCTGAGTTGATGGATGTTTTATCGATGATCGAGATTAACTTTTGACAGTTCTCTTTGTTGGGTGATGATGATTGCTGTCATTATAATTATCTTTTCCAGAAAATATGGGGCAAAGTTAATGCCATGAATCTTAGCCCGAATATCCAAGTTTATTATTGTATATCATTTAATAAAGTATTGGATCTTCGCACGAAGGAACCAATAAGGAACTGGCCGGGCAATTTTTTTTGCACAAAATGGCTGGGGATTTGTGAAAGCCAGGAAAACTACCGAAGCTCCCAATAAAACAATATGAGCTTCCAATCCCTCTTCAAATCACAATGATGACAATTTGCGGATGTTTGAATTTCAGGACATCAAGGACCCACAACTCAAGGTACAATATATCCACAACTTCGTGAATAAGGAAATTTTGTTCAAAGCAGATGTTTTCATCCATTGAAGGTAATCTTACACCACAAGGCTAAAAAAATATGAGAAGAAACATCTTGGACTAGCTTCTACAAGTCCTTTGAAGCGGCCCAACAGAATAGTAACTATGAGACTCTATATCTGAAGTAGAGTAAAATGAGTGACGGGATGAAAAATCCTCTGACCAATCCTTTGAAAATTCATAGTTTGGAGTGTGCATTGAATCATTTATGCACCAGATAACGATAGGTCGAGGAATACGCTAGTTTTTTTGCATATGTCAATCTCCTTTGTTTTATACTCATTCCATCTATCTGATATGAAATTATTTGTTTTATATAGAAAAATAAATAAATCTTGAAGCGAAGTTCAAGCTTTCCTTAAAAGAGTAGGAGAATTCTGAATTTGTTAAGATCAAATTCCTTCACCGAGAGTATAGATGAAGATATGATTCTAAACAAACACTGACTCATCCTGCATTGCTTATTATCAGAGATGGACGAAAACTCCCTTACTAAAGATGCATGACCCATCCTAGGTTGTTAGTCGAAGCACCCGCTCGATGACTATAATCTTTAATGGAAGAGGTTGTCGGCACTATTTTTGGTGTGGGGTTTGCCCGTAAGAAGTTGTCGGTCATCGGAATTGAAATCCCGTTGCCCGCTTCGGAAGGACGTTTTTTAAAAAATTTAGTTTTGAAAAAGATGAAGTCAAACTGACCCCATAATTTTCATAGTTTAGATGAAAGAGCACTTTATCTCAAATCATTTATCTATCCCGAAGGATGAACACAAGAATTGAGAGTGAGGCTCGATCAAATAAACTAAAGAAAGTTATGACATCCGTTTGGTCTGCGAAACCAATGTATCGGCCGACAAGTTCCCCTATTTAATATAAGGAATTAAATAGGGTTTATATTATGCTGGGTTCGGGAAAAGCTTCCTATAAGGGCAAGCCCCTATAGTTAATTACATCTTAGATAA